ATGACATGAGACAAAGTATATGTGAACTGCTGTATGAAAAGTGAATTTACTCTGTAAATCTTCACCCAAATACAATTAAAAAAAAAATAATAAAGAATAAAAAAAAAAATTCTAAAGCACTTGGGTTTGTGAAAGGCTATGGTCTGCAGTGGGAGCCCTAACTCCATTCTTCAGCTTTCCATAAGTTTCAGATGCCATTTGGGTTCTTTCTGACCATAAATCAGCACTGTGGCTATGCATAGACAAGTTCCAGGACAAACCTAGGGAGGGGCAGTTTGCCTTCAGGAAGAGTGTGGTTGAAAGTAGATTATGCTCACATAAAGAATTAGGGAACTGGCCTGAGTGCTCTTCTCTCCTTTAAATTAAGGTTAGGGTCTTGGTACTGTTTAAATAGCCACCTTTCGGCTAAGACTCAGGCTGCATGGTCAAGAGTTACAGCATAAACGGACCACTATCTAGCCAGGTAGTCAAGGACCAGAACCAATCCTGTAACCCTTTTATCTCCCCAATTATGTATGTATCCCAGTCATGGTCTTTTTCCACTTCTGTAGTCCTGCCTGCAACAGTGATGAATCTATCTACCACCAATCATGATTTTGTGATGATCCCCCCCCCCTTTTTTTTTCTCCAATCACGTATATTTAGCCCCATGGCCATGACTTGGGAGACTACATTCAGTTTTCTCAGGCTGATGGTTTTTCCCTCATCCATGATGATGTCTCTGTTCTATCCAAGGCTTAATACAAGTCTCTCTACTGAACCTGTTTGAATCTGAGGTCTCTTCTCCCCTATAACAAAATGGCATAGTCTATGTCAGGAAATCCAAAGCTGTCTTATCCCTATGGGACACCAAGCGGTTGAGGACCGGACCAGCACCAAAGGGGTGTCTTGTACTCCACCATCTCCGCAAACCCCAGGGACCCTATGAGGTAAGCATTCTTGGATTCTGATGCTTTGGTGTGGCTCTCTGAGACCTTAATATTTAGTTTTGCTGGGTGGGGGTTTTTCTTTTCTGTGTGAGAACTCTTAACGCTTTCTTTCCATTTATTTGCATATGTTTGAAAATTGTGTTTTAGCACCTCTAGAAATACTTGGTTGTATCTGCAGATTTATAAATTTCAAAAGAAACTATACTGCTAAACTCTGGCCTAATAAGTTTTTCTTTTTTCTCTCTCTCTACTTGTCCCTTGCACAGGTTTTGTTTTGCCCCCATTGGTGGCAGTGGTGTGGGGTTTTGGGTTTGGTCTTTTGCAAGATGTTGTTTGTCTCTATGGTGGGAACAGCACAAGATTTTGATTGAAAGTTTTTGTTCTGTTTGCAAACACTTTGGTCTACTTCCTTGTAGATGCTGGTCTGGGACTCCAGTTTTGATAACTTAGGTTTTGTGCACCTTGGTGAAAGCTGCTAAAACAAAACACAATGTTACACTCCTGCTGAATGTTGCCATTTGAGGTTTACTGTATGTGCACTATTTCTTGCAAGAAATTTTTTTAAAGAAATTTTTTAGAAAAAACTTTATTGTGATTTGGGTGAAAGGTTATGGAGCAAATTCATCTTCTATACAGCAGTTCACATACTCTTTGTCTCATGACATTGACAGCAATTTCCCACAAGGCAACAGCTCTCTTCCCACTTCTTCCCATAGCCACCTCTTCCGTATGTCCTTCCCTCCCATGCACTCCTGCTCCTTGAGCTGTCTCCCTGTGTATACACAGTCCTTCTATTCTCCCATGATTGATCTCTCCAAGGAGTGTATCTGCCTAATGTAAATGTTCAGCTCATATGCCTATCTTTTGTTTGGCTGGAAGCCACAGGAGTGAGTCCAATTCCAGACCTGAAGGGTAGCTAGGGGCCAGTCTCAGGGGTCTCACCAGGCTTTATCAGACCAGCAAACCTAGTCCTTTTTTCTTTTTTATGATTTTGAGTTATGTTCCACATTGTTCTCCCAGATCCAGGCTCTCCCACATAGATTCCCCTCTGAGTGGTTAACAGTGGTAGTCAGGTACCATCCAGTTCTTCTGGTCACACAGTCAGATAGGCTGAGGACTGCATGTTCTATCAGTCCCTTGTTGCAAGAAAAATCTGCAGGGGGGATTGGGCGACTCCAGTCCTGTTTTACAGAAACTGAAATATATGTTGTTGCTTGGTAAAATGGAGAATGCCATGTTTCAACATCAGGCTGGATCTCTCACAAGTATTCCAGTGGCTTACATATATGTAACCTTCAGGGTCTCCTTCGCAGTTTTATACAGTGGACACTAGCATACAATTACCAAGGAATTCTTTAGAAAGTCAGTGGCCACTTTAAGAACAAGGTTTGTTGGACTAGATCTGAGAGGTATCTCTGGTAATCTTAAAATCAGTTGACCTAAATCTGTGGTGGGTCACCTAGAAACACAACTTCTGTTCTAATATAAAGAGCATTCAATCTAGGTTTCCTTTATATATATGCCATGTCTATAATACAAAATCTAAAGTTTTACAGAATGTCTTTACAGTGAAGGCACATGTTTATAAATAAACGCCTTGTAGAACTTGTTTCCTTGGTATAAAGACCTTAGGATTTTAGTTTTGTAAGTTATTTCAGCAAACTGACTAATATTAATAATGTTTCCGTATTTCTGGCTTTCATGGAAGCTGGGATAAACTGTTGTTGTTGTTAGGTGTCGTCAAGTCATGTCTGACTCATAGCGACCCTATGCACAATAGAGCAAAACACCAGCCAATCCCGGGCCAGCTCCATGATCCTTGTTATACTTGAGTCCATCGTCGCAGCCACTGTGTCAATCCATCTAGTTGAGGGCCTTCCAATCTTTCGTCGACCTTCCACCTTATCAAGCATGACATTCACCTCCAGGCAATGGTCCCTTCTGACAACATTACCAAAGTAGGTGAGACGAAGTCTGGCCATTCTCACTTCCAAGCAGCATTCCAACTGCACTTCCTCCAGTACAGATTTGTTAGCTCTTTTAGCAATCCATGGTACTTTCATCACCATTCTTCACCAGCACCACAACTCAAAAGCATCAATTCTTCTTCAGTCTTCCTTATTCATCGTCCAGCTCTCACATGCATATGAGACAATTAAAAATACCATGGCTTGTGTCAGGCGCACCTTAGTCCTCAAGGAGACATCTTTGCTCCTCAACACCTGAAATAGGTCCTTTGCAGCTGACTTGCCCAGTGCTACGTTGTTGTCATTATGAGCCATCGAGTATAGCGACCCCTCCTTGGGTTTCCGAGGCAGTATCACTATGGAAGTAGATTGCCCCATCTTCCTTCCGAGGAGTGACTATGTCGTCTAATATCTTGACTGCTGCTTCCATCGGTGTCAATTGTAGAACCAAGCAATGTGAAGTCTTTGACAACTTCAATCTTTTCTCCATTTATCATGATGCTGCTTATAGGTCCAGTTGTGAGGATTTTTGTTTTCTTTATATTGAGATGTAATCCATACTGCAGACTGTATTCTTCCATCTTCATCAGTAAGTACTTCAAGTCATCCTCACTTTCAGCAAGCAAAGTTGTGTCATCAGTGTATCACAGGTTGTTAATGATTCTTCCTCCAATATTCATGCCACGTTCTTCTTCATATAGTCCAGCTTCTCGGATGATCTGCTCAGCATATAGACTGAATAAATATCATGAAAGGATACAACCCTGATGCACTCCCTTCTTGATTTTATACCATGCAGTGTCCCCTTGTTCTGTTCAAATGACAGCCACTTGGTCTATGTACAGGTTTCTCATGAGTACAATTGAGTGTTTTGGAATTCCCATTCTTCTCAGCGTTATCCATAATTCGTTATGATCCACACAGTCAAATGCTTTTGCGTAGTCAATAAAGCACAAGTAAATATCTTTCTGGTATTCTTTGCCTTGAGCCAAGATCCATCTGACAGCAGCTATGATATTCCTTGTTCTATG